TTCTACATCCTTTTATGGTGTATATATACAAATCCAAAACCAGTTAATTCTTTTTGATGTCCAATTAACAAAGAATCAACTCTTCGGTTCTTTATCCTTCTCGGGTCATACTGATTTTGAACTATTATAACGTGGACAGCAGTGTCAAAAACAAATGCCTACACTTTTTTGAACATTAATATAAAAAGTTTAACATGAGAGTATAAGAAACAATGCCACCAGTTCATAGTAAATATGCCTATAGGAATATCAGAGCATGCAAAAATGATTTCTTTCCTATTGTTTGAAAGATAGTACTGCCACAATATTTAGCATGTTTAATAAAACCAAGGCAACACAGCAAAAACCTCCACAAGCACTAAAAACTAAGTTTTACCACTTGGTATGCATTCAGTAAAGGTAAGTCGAGAGAGCCGGGAGCCTTTAAAATCTTATATGCTAGTTCACAAATCGACATATGATGCATGATGAACCGACATGAACCATTGACCATCAATCCTCTCAAACACATTTGTGGCGAACTGTCTTCCCCAGCTACTGCCCTTCGTCTTCACCATTTCAATGCATGTCACGTAGCCTATGTCCCCTCTAACATGAACCTGAAGGTCCTTAATCTCAATTTGTAGTGGGAAGTCGTAGTCGGCCCATACAAATTCCCAACTCCCCATTACAAGATCATGACTGGATATGCCGCTCACACCAGGGTGCACAACACACACATGATCACCCTTCGACCAGAGAGCCTGCATTGATGCCAAATCCCCATTTCTGAATGAATTATAAAATCTAGCATTTGCAGCTAATACTGAAGCCTTGCTGTCCTCTTGGAGAAGTTTAAGACTATCCCTGATTTTTGCCGCCTTGGCATAATTCTCTTCTTCAATGGCAATCTGTAATTCACGCTCTAAAGTCTGCTCGTTTAGTAAGATGCTTTCACCACTCAAGATTCCACCACAGTCCTCACTCCTAACCCGACATGATCGCGAGGCTTTCCTCGTGGGTACTGTTCTGAACAAATACAAATTAGGACATATAGCTGCTAAAAGCAAAACTAAAAACCATAATGAAATGCAATACTGAATAGGGATATGACATACAAAGAACGACGCAAATGTTTTAACTTACATCCAGATTCTAAGAAGAGCAATAGACAGAGTCATATATATAGATTCTAAGAAGAGCAATAGACAGAGTGATGCGGACAT